TGTAAATGGCAATTTGTTTGATGTTAGATTCCTTTTAAAAACTAAATTATTTAAGAAAAAAAAATGCATATATTGACTCAAGAAAATCAGTTTTAATACAGAATTTGATTATTGGGGCCATTTTCACCTACCTGTCATATGGGGCCATTTTTACCGGGCCATTTTTTCCGGGGCCATTTTTTCCGGGGCCATTTTTTCCAAGGCCATTTTTTCCGGGGCCATTCTTACCGTACACCGAGTTATATAGCAGTTACATAAAGCATATTGCAAAGCAAGTATCAGTTAAAGTGTTATATCGTTAAATATCAATGCTATAATAGTGATATTTAGGATTTGAAACTATAACCAGCTACATCAGACCAAAATCAGTAAGTACGGTGCCATAAGTATCAATCTGCTATAGCAAATAACGGTGCTATAATTTACTTTGTGGAGTGCTTTACCAATGCTAGCTAATGTAATGATATACCTGCTACTTTGATATTATGTTGATATGACCAATGGACATGCTTGCTACATTAGATCATGGAGAAAATAAAATAGAAATTAACAATACTGTATTTGTTTTGACTTACTATGTTTCTGATGATTAAATATCTTACAAAAAATACAGGCATATTATTCTTTCTCCTCGATCAGAGCTTGACCCCACTAAAACGGTTTGGACGTTTGTGTTGTTAAAGACGATGTGGGTAAATGCAGTTGAATATGTGGCAAAGACAAGCCAAGCCAGTTACTGATCGCAAATGGTGTTTCACAGAAAATAGCCAAAAACATGCTGGAATGTTAACTTTTTAAAAATATATATTATTGCACTGAACTAACTTTTATGTTTCTATACATCATGCTATGCTGTTATTTTCCCCATTTTCAATGTTAAAACAACACTTTTTAAGGATTTGATGATAGTTGCTGCATGAGAAATGCCTGAAAACTTTGAAGGCTGATTTCTCATATATTGTTCTTTAAACAGCTGTATGTTTAAATGCTTGTACACGTAACTTCATGTATGGAAAAGTCAGATGTGAATAATTTTTTTACCATTTTATATCTCTTATTTTACTCTTTAATGCAGTATTAATAACTCAAAATTGATTTTTGAGACGAGTGACTGGTTGGGCTGGCCACATATCATTAAAATTGTATTCACTTTGTGATGATTGAATATCGTACAAAAATACAGGCTTTTAGGCCTAGAAAAATATCTTTGATTTCGTACTAGTTAATTGTTTGTATCATGGAAGTTCCATGTTGAGACGTAGGCCTGAATAACTTGTCAAGTTTGGTCTTTCAAATGACGCGAGTAGAGTCGTAGAGTAAAAGCTCATAATATCACTTTTATTTGAAAAGTTACACTATGATTTAATAATTCATAATTGATGATTAATTGATAATTTGATTGAAATAATATGCTATTGTACCAAATCAAATACATTTAATAAAAACAGCAAAATTGTATAAAATGAAACCGATCTTTATGAACAAACGTTAAACTTCGTGGTTCAATCTTTTTGAGTCGTAACTGTTTACAAAATACATGCGAACCAATTCCAGGATTACCATTTGTGTTGATTTGTCATCAATTCGATCCATGCGTTGTTCAATATGAGTAGAAATTGTAATGCTCTGGTGAGTGAGTATTGAATGAAAAATTGAATTTAAACCACTATTATTAAGATATGGTAATAATTACCTTGGAACCATACTCAAATTTTAAAGTCAAACTCCACAGAAAAATAATGTTTGATATCTTGTAAAAATGATTTTTCGAAGACAGACAAAGTTGTTATGACTAAAAACTGGGGAATGGTAAATGAGATACGAATTTTTGAATATTTAAAAACTGGTGGAAAAGGTGTAAAAAAGGGCATTTATGCCCCTTTTTCCCAGTTTTTTTCTGTCTTTTAAAAGTAAGTTGTAAATGTGACTGCATGAGTATTTGATGATCATTGTTCATTAATTATGAATTGCCTATGGGAAGAGAAAAAATAATTTTGTAATTTAAGCACTGTTGTGAAATTTTTGAATTATAATTTTCAATTAAAGTAAAAATAAAATATATTAGGTATCTGCTTTTCAAACTACTACTAAAATTGTACATATAGTGAATCACATACTATAATATACTAGGCTGTACAGTATACATTAATGTATACAAAATATGACATAGGGATACACAAGATGAGTATAATAATTTAAAAATATCATGAATCAATATAAAGTGGAGACACACAGACTATGCAATACATCTGTTTAATGAAGTGCTTTTTAAAAATGATGACTAAAATTAAAAGTTATTATAATTTTTTTTGTAGTTCTTTTACATCCAATCACAAATTGAAACTCCAAGGATAATAAGGAACTGTGGTGAATTTGAACACAGGAATGAAATAAAGGCATCTTTATAGCAAGTATATACAGAAAATACTCCACTGTTACAGTCAGAATAATAATGATTTTTTTTTCCTATTTCCCTAGTCCAAAGTTTTGTTCCCTTCCTGCGACTCGGCCGCATTTATCGGCAACATCAGGCCTGTTTTTGTCAGATAGAAAAATAAAATAAAGATACACAATAAACTTACGAGGTGAGAAAGAATGCTTGAAGTGGCATCCATATGGCAACGCTTCCCATCAAGTTAATCTCCCTTACGGCTTTTTTTTACTTGTATCTCGTGCTCTTCTCTCCTAGAAACAACTGTCATACCGACTTTTAAGTTGATTAACCTAAAAAAGAAAAAATTTTAAATAGCAAACATGTATTTAATAGAATTATACAAATTAATATCTAATTAATTTTAACTTTATTTGAAATACTGTATTTCAAACAAAACATTTAGGTGAGATCCTTGTCATACTTTCGCTTCCAGGTCAGAAGGATACTAAAGGTCATTTAAATGAAGATAGGGGCTTATTACCCTATCTAGTGACCATGCTGATGTGGGGATTCATAACAGGATGCAAATTGTGTATACCCAGTATTCTGCTTTCTATTAAGTGGCACCCTAACATACAGTGCCATATCTATGAGTACTAACATGGGGGATGGAGGCTGATGTACGGCAACCACTCTGACAGGGTCCTGGCACAGCCCCCTTCCTCCTCACTGGTGCTACCACTGGTCTATTCTAAGCCTCCATTGCATATGGCAATGTGTCTGCTTAGTTTTTAAATGGATAAGAATTGTGCAATATGTTTTGGTGAGATAAGGTCTGTCACGAAAGCATGTATCCGTCACACTGTATTTACAGACCCACACAAAAATATGAAGTAGGGGACATGATGAATAATTTCCATTTGGACTAAGTATAATTTTATCCCAATAATCACAGTTTGACAGAATAAAGATCCAACTGTTACTGAGATAGATATATGCATTTTTAAAAGTTAAAAATGGTGTCTTTTTTGGTCTGGTCTGTCAGAAAACATCGTTTTAAATTAATTAAAATACTAGCAAATCTCAGAAGTCCTTAACATATGGGTAGTTGGTAGATAATCAGGAGTAATAATAATAATAATAATAATAATAATAATAATAATAATAATAATAGTGTAGTTTTATATAGCGCACATATCCATCTAATGTAAAATGCTCAGGGCGCTTGATATATGGACAAGGAACTTGATCGATGACTTTCTTTGCCCCTAAGGTCCTTTCGTGTCTGTGCTACCCGGTAACCCAGTACCAGCAACTCTCATCGTCCACCACAGGGGCTGTCTGTTCCAGTACACCGGGGTATCCCCCTACTCGTCTCGAAGGATGTATTGGGTTCTTTATAGCGCACACGAGTCATTGTATACACTGGGCCTACAGTTTATAGTCCTTATCCGGGAAGACTTATTCTACCACCAGAACCATAGGCGAGCTTGCCGTTCGAACCAGCGCCTATATTATGGCTATAGCTTGCGGCGCCCCCGCTAACCGCACAGCCATTCGACTCACCCATACAATTGGTTCTATTCTCTTCAAAAAACCAGGAAACTTGTTTTAATGTTTAAAAAAAAAGTTATCAAATGTCCTGTATTTCACAGTGGAATTGATTTCAAGATGGCTACCAGTGAGCTGAATCAGTTTCTAGAAAATGTTGATGAGAAGGTCCTAGAGTGTACCATTTGCTTTAAGAGACTTCAAAATCATAAATCCCTCAACTGCCTCCATAGTTTCTGTTTGGCATGTCTGGAAGACTGGGTTAAAACTAAGGGAGAGCTGATTTGCCCAACTTGTTCAAAATCATATCCTATTCCAGAGGGTGGGCTTCAGAAACTTCCACCAAATACCTTTCTTAATAAGTTAATAGAAACTATTGATCAATTTTCAAAAAAAGATCCGATAAAATGTGCTTGTAAAAAAGGAGAAGCACAGCAATATACTACTGCCAGGATTGCAGACAGTACTTGTGCTCTACTTGTATTGACCATCATAAAGAGTTCCAACTCTTTGCAAACCATAAGTTACATTTAGTGGAGGGTGTACGATCAATGAGCACAATACAAAACCTTCACTACATCCACCACAGTGTTTGCTTCACAGCAAACCTTTGGAATTTTACTGTGCAAACTCCAGTTTGTGTTAATTGTACAATTATGAACCACAAAGAATGGGAAAGAAAACACACAGACCAATCTGCATTTCAGAAGCATTTCAAACATTTAAAGAAACTTCGGAAACATTAGAGAAAGCTGCCAATGACTGCAAAAACAAATTACAATGGCCTCAAAGCAGTAACTCAGATTGCTATAAAATTAGGACAAAGTAGAGAGAAAACTTTGAGAGATATTGGCAATCATGTGCAAGAAATGTGCCAGATAATGAAAAAAAAGGAGACCAAATAAAAAATGAAGTAGAGAAAATCTACAAAAAGAAAAAGAAGGTAAATGATGCCAAAATGGATGAATTGAAAACAACAATATCTGATATAAATACAAAATTGAGTTTGCTTAATCATTTATTGAAGAGTGATGAAGGCACAGCAATGCTATCAAGTGAAACATTAATTACAGCACTTAAGGACAGGATCAAAGAATTGCCAAAAACAGAGCCAGATGATAATGGACACATTAACTCTCTTGTAAACAAAGAACAAAAGGCTTCATTGAAAGAATATGAAATGGGGACTGTAACACAGAGGGCAGCAGACTTCTTAACATTAAAGGGAGAGGAATCAGTGACCGAAGGTCAGACAATTGTTGTCAAAATAATCAAACCAGATGAATGTAAAGTACATGCAAATCAACTGAAGGCAAAAAGGTATATCCATCATTTCATATAATCCAAGGAGACTTGCAGCAGCTAATCAAGGTGACCAAACTGTAAAAATATTCAATTATTATGCATTGATAGCCAACTGGTTACACTTTTTGTGTGTTGTGTTCATCAAATTTAAATTTATAGGTGTACAATGCATCAACAAATCATAATTTGAACAACATAACATTTATATTTCAATATTAAATGAGTAACATGCAAAAGTCAGAATCATTGCACCCTCATTGTGTATGTTTATGAACACATGCAAGCCAGCATTATAAATTTTATTTTTTTCTCCACAATGAATATCCTTTTCATTCTTGTATTGTAATCCATTTAATGTTAAATGGACGCCACTGGAAATAAGCAGCTTTGATGTTTGTAGTATTTATGTTTTTGGTTTTAATTTTATTGTAAATTGATGGTATTTTCAGATAATATTTGATGTTTATTGTTCTTCCCATATTTTCATGTACCTTTGTCAACTTTTGATGTTTTAATACGACTGGATTTTATTGTTGTTTTAATGTTTAATGACTGGATTTTATTGTAATTTGATATTGGATGCTACTTTTTTAAATGATTTTCATGTTTTTTAAATTGTGGGTGTATTGTTGTATATAAAGCCCAATAAAATCAATCAATCAATAAATTCAGTATAACAAACTACATTACAGTATTTTAATATGTTGAATCAACTCAAGTTTGGTTAATATGCAGAGTCACAATAATGTCAAATTTTTAATAAATAATAATCTTTTGTATTTTATATTTCCACTTATTTAAATGTATTAATAGTGTGGTTTTGTATAATATATCTTAAAAAAAACCCTGTGAATTATGCTCATTCATCTGTATTAGTTTACTGTAATGCTCATGCAAGTGAGCTATGAGTTTTTCGTTGAATGTACAAAACATTCATGCTTATAGTAACAATTACTTAAAAACCAAATTATAAAATAACGTTTTAGATAACCTGATAGTAACAAAGTAATTATAACAGACTTAATGATTAGTTTTATTAAAATTAAGAATTAGATATTTTGATCAATAACTGTCAGTTTAATGTGTCAAAATAAATGGTATGTTCAGGGACATAGCCAGGATTTTGAAAGGGGGGGGGGGAGCCGTTATGCAAATTACGTAGGACCCCGGCGGGGTCAAGGAGGCGAATTCCCCTGTGAAGTAGCGCACTCTAAACGTTCTTAGGACTGTTTGAGAGGATAAATTGAAAATTGTAATAGACGCATTATAAATAAGTGCAAAAATAATTATATAGTAAATCAACAGTGGTAGATCTAGGAATTCGAAAGAGAGGTGAACCAGGGAGGGACTTTCACAAACCGAGGAACCACCCACCTCAGGTAAGAAAATTTATTACTAGGGCATCTCTAGATGGCCGGAAATTACACACTCCCACTTCAATTTGAATATATTTTTCTTCTTTTTTTTTCTTAAAAAAATGAAGGGGAGGGGGCCTTAAATCCACCTCTGCTCAAAACATTCTGTATCCACTGCCAGAATAGTCATAATCACGAAAAATGGACATGAAAAACCAGATCACATCCTAAAAACAAACAGCAGTCACTAAGACATACATCAGGAGCCGATTCGATGGAGTTTAATGTCATACCCAGGGAAGGGCACAGACCTGTTTTGAAAGGTGGAGGGGGAGGGCATTTTGTGAGTCGACACCCACATCAGCCCCACAATGGTTGGAGTTGAGGTGAGAAAATTTGAGGAATAGTACCTCTAGATGGCTAGAAATGACACTTTTAGTAAAATTCATCATCATCACATCACCATTAGTCAAAATAAAGTGCCAAAAAAATTCTCATGATCTTTTATAAGGTATTTTTGACAACCATAGTGATCTTATTAATGTGTGTGTGTTTACCATAGAAAACAAAGCTTAAAAACATTGTCTTTGAGTATGTACTTTACATAGGCCTACTTCAAAAACGTGATTTCACAACCACCTCAGCCCCACCATGGCTGGGGTTGAGGTGAGAAAATTTGAGGAAATGGTACCTCTCGAGATGGCCGGAAATGACACTTTTACATAGTAAAATTCATCATCATCACATTACCATTATAGTCAAAATGAAACGCCAACAAATTTCTCATGATCTTTTATCAGGGATCTACTATCCAGGATAACTTTAACTATATATACTATAGTATGAACAACAAATCACAACTTTTTTTTTTTCGCATTTAGCACAATTTTCTTCACTTTTTATTGCTATTAATATTATTATCAATTATTACTCTCGTCATTATTATCATTGTTATTATTATCATTATTACTATTAGTAGTATTATTATTAAACAAACATTAAAAGAAACTTGCAAAAGGATAAAAACGAAATTGAACCACAGTATTGCATTTCTATCTTAAAAGACCTGGCCTGAGATTTATGGATTTAAGATTTTTTTTAATCACGCTTAGGCCTATGTGTTCTATTAGGCCTATGTATAACGACTGATGCATATTTACATGTTTAGAAGTATTCATTTTGAGTGATCCCAGGAAAGAATTTGTATTGGCTCAAGAATAAGCTTTAAAATTTTAACACTGTGTACAAAGGGGGGGGGGAGCCGCGGCTCCCACTGCACCCCCCCTGGATACGTCCCTGGGTATGTTACACTGGGTTCTAAATCAGACTTGATGATGATCATAATTCTGTAATATCGTTTTTAATATGTAGCCTATAATAGAAAAAAACATTTGTATAACTTTCATATTAAAATTAAATAAATAATAAAAACATTTTTAAAAATACTATTTATTAGGTGTCTATTGTTTAAACATTATACTTTAATAAATTGAATGCATTGTAAATATGACATTAATAAATTAAATATAATGTTAAAAGTTTCATATATTTTCATTTTTTTTTATCACACACATTCAAAATCAAAATGTGGAGTGGAGGATACTTTACAGGATTTATACCAGTACCACAGTCGTGTCGTCACAACACCAGGTGGCACCCTCTGGACATTGGTTACCGGTCATTACACTTGAATGACTTCATAATCTTCATGCTTTAGAATAGGCTTTCTGCAGTGAACTAAAAGGAACTGTATTATACTACTCAGAAAAGTCACCAACAACTAACCGATATTTAACAGTATATGATACTTGTAGTATTAAAAAAGACTCACTATGACTATTTATAAAGAGCCTTTTGCTCAATGCCATAATCAGAAGTGATGTTATTACAAAAATATTATCATTATTTAGAATGAAATAAAGATATCTATCAAGTATGTACAGAAAATACTCCACTGTTACAGCAGAATAATAATAATTAATTGTTTTTCCTATTTGCCTTTCTGTGACATCAGGTCTCTTTTTGTCAGATGAAAAAAAAAATAAAGATATACAATTAACTTACAAGATGAGAAATAATGCTTCAAATGGCACTCCATGTGGCCTCACTTCCCGTTAGGTCCATCTCCCTTATCTTTTTTTACTTGTTCTTCTCTCCTGGAAACAACTGTCATACCAATTTTTAAGTTGACTAACCTAAAAAAAAAAAAATTTAAATAGCAAACATGTATTTAATAGAGCTCTACAAATTTATCTTAATTAAAATTTTATTTTAAATACTGTACCATAAATACTCGAATAAGCACTGCGGCACTTATACAATTTTCAGAGGTTTCATTGTGGCGCTTTCGAGAGCGGTGCTATATAAAAATATTGGTGTGGCGTTTTCCATGACCGTTCCCATGTTACCAGCTATTTCACATACTCCAGTAGTCCTATCATAGTTCCTATCATCGTAAACAAATGTTTATAAGAAATGCTTGAGTCTTAATTGTGTTATTTATTCATTTTAACACTGTATGCATTGTATTTAATGGCCTGTTTCATTACACACAGGGTAATATTACATACTCTTTATTAAGCACTGCGGCGCTTATTTGAGAGCACCGCTTAACAAAAAAAAAATCACATTAGGTGTGGCACTTATTCGAAAGCGACGCTTATTTGCGAGTGGTGCTTATTCAAGCATTTACGGTACTGTATATTATACAAACCATTTAAGTGAGATTTTTGTCATACTTTTGCTTCTAGGTCAGAACAATACCAAAGGTCATGTAAGTCAGGATTGGGGCTTATTACCTCCCAGTGACCATGGCTGATACACATGTGGGGACTCGTATTATTATGGCTATTAGGCATTACAAACCATATTTAAATACTGGATTACAAGCATCCAAAGAACCTGGATTGGATTGGATTGGATTTATTCAGTGTAAACACCAATGATAGCCCACGAAAGTCTAGAATAAGACTTATTTCCAGTGGGGTCCTTCTGGTGGTGATTGGGCAGTACACCGGAAGACAATCCCCTACTCTTTTTCCTGCATTCTTCAACTAGCCCTAAAACTAGTTTATTTATATATTCATCCATATTAACAATATGTTCACATTATGTCTAGGTTGCTTTTGTTTTAAGGTATTTGGTTTATTCTTTAATAATGTCCACCTTTTTTTACTTGGTTGGTCAATTTTTCCCTGCTTTAACAGTGGTTGGTGGCTCCTTTGATTATTTAATTTGGAATTGGCTCCTTAGAAGCTAAGAATGCTTTGATCTTTAGTTTATTCATAACAATGTCGCCTACTAGGGATAATGTTTTGATTGGTCAATCACTTTTGGTACTTGTGCATTATAAGCTTGCAAATATGGATAATTTTTCATTCCTGATGATGACATAATTAATGTCGAAATATTGAATCCCGACACAATGGCGTGCATTTTGATACTTGGAGTATGTATTATACTATCTTATCTGTGATTAGAAATGTTTGGGTATTATTATTATTATTATTATTATACTATCATATTATTCTGATATGACTGTAACCACTTGCTTCATTACGTTCCACTTGCTATTATGTGGCTCCCTACTATGCAGTGGTATATGAGTACTGACATAGAGATGGAATAGCTGCAGAGTCGAATCACATTCTCCTTAGGTCA